CCTTGTTGATGGTTGGTTTTTGTTGAATTTAATGGGAGTCCTCTGTACTTCCTAGATTTTGATGTCTATGTCTTTCCCCAGGTTAGGAAAGTTTCTGCTATGGCTTGCTCACATAACCTTTCTACCCATATTTCTGTCTCTTCCTCTTCTGCGACCCCTATGATTCTGATGTTGTTCCTTTTTAATGAGTCACTGATTTCTCTAATTCTTAAACCATGCTTTTTTGCCTTACTCTCCCTCTTTTTTCTGCTTCATTATTCTCCATAAGTTTGTCCTCTAGATCACTGATTCTCTGTCCTGCTTCACCCATCCTTGCTACTATAGCATCCATTCAAGATTGTAGCTCAGTTATAGCATTTTTTATTTCATCCTGACTAGCTTTTACTTCTTTTATCTCTGCAGAAAGGGATTCTAATCTATTTTCGACTCCAGCTAGTAATCTTATTATCGTGATTCTAAATTCTGGTTCAGACATCTTACTTGTATCTGTGTTGGTTAAGTCCTTGGGTGTCATTTCTTCCTACTCTTTCTTTTGGGGTGAATTCCTGCTGAATTCTGTGGTTCAGCTTGTGAAGATTGTTGTGTTAATCCTCAGATCAGTTTTCTAGGTATGCAGGATGGTTTATTGTTGGTCTGGCTGTGTTTCCTGGACATGAGACACACAAAAAACTTCCATGCTGTTCCACCATCTTGGCTCCTCCCTCACCTTCTAAACTTTTTGAACTGGATTTTTAATGCCTTTTATCATAGAGTATTCTTTTTTTTTTTTTAATTCTAAAACACTGCTTGATTTTTCACTAGTTACTTTTTGCCTCATTAAGGGCACATTTTGTAGCTCTTGATTTTTACATCTATGTTACAAGAGCATGAATAGACTTCTAATTTACATACTACCCCCTTAGCCTTGTCCACGTTGTCTTTAGGGGGAAGAAGAAGCAATATTGTTGAATTATTTTGAGAGTGGGATCCAAAGTATTCCAAGGATGCAATGAAGTTCACCTTGGCTTTAGTATTTATTCAAAATTTGGGGACGCCTGGGTCACTCAGTCGGTTGAGCATCTGATTTCAGGTCAGGTCATGATCTTGTGGTTCGTGAGTTCAAGCCCTCTGTTTGTGGTGCTCTCTGCTGTCAGTGCAGAATCTGCTTCAGAGCCTCTGTCTCCTCTCTCTGCCCGTCTCCCATAGGTGCACATGCTCTCTCTCAAAAATGAGTAAATGTTAAAAAAAATATATGCTATTTGGTTTTAGCTCTTGCAATGCTGAATAATTGAATGCCTACTGCAACATTTCTGCATTCCTGAATCCATGTGTGATCAATGATGTTGTGTGGGTTATCATTGTATCTACCGAGAGTAACAACATCAGTAATATGTGGCATATTGGATTTATTGTTAATATCTGAATATTCACTTTCATATATTAATAAGTACTCTAGATGTAACTTATGTGAAATTTTCTTTTGTCAGAGACAAACTAAATGTCACAGTAGGTATTTTAGAACGGTCTCATCATGTGTTTAAACAATATGGGATAGAAGCTATTATATATTGAAAATTTGGACAAAAGAAAGCTGTGTTTTGGAAACATTAGTATCAATAGTGCAGAACTTCTAACAACCATTGGTTGTCTGCAAAGAAAGTGGTTCATTTGCTGTTATTTATTTATTGGAAAAGTGAACAAACTTATTTGCCTCAAGATTCTAAGTATTTCTTTATGATATATGGCATCTTCTGTAAAAATCTCCCTATTCACCTATAGGGAAGGTCCCCAAATTGGTGGGACCTCAGTGAAAGCTGAGGTACAGATGAAAAAACAGAGAGAATTTTGTCATCCTGAAAGCCACTTAACATCATTCCATTACCACAATTCTCGATCCATGGTTGATGTATACATGGATGTATCAGCAATGAAAACATTAGCAAGGGTAACAATCTTAAGTTTGCTTTTGAAAGTTTCAGAAAGCATTTTTGTGAACAGTGCACTGTCAGTTTGTGGGATTTCTCCGGTAAGTTGCATCATCACTATTGACCAAATCTTTTTAAGTCCAGGAGTTGAAGAGGTGAGAAGTTGTACCTCAGTTACTATTAGATAGAGGGCAGTATTGCCACCAGCAGTGCCCATTATTGGCAGAATTAGCCAAAAAGTAATTTATTCTTCAATTGAGCTAAGTTGAAAGTAAGTATACAATTCAATATCCTGAAGGTACATCATGATCACCAACAGAGCAGTCTAACAGCTGCTAGTGTTGAGAAATTGTTTCTGTAGGATGTCAAATTTAAAATGGCTACTAAACTTTTACATAACACAAGTGTAATAATAGTTTTGACAGAATTTCACATTTATTCTTATATCACAAGAGTTCATCAAGAATGGTGTTTCAACTTCAGCTGAAAATTGATTTTACACTAAGTCAGTCATAAAAAAATAAGTACTTTAAAAAAATGAAGAGTATTTGCTCCATGTCTAACTTATATCTAAAAAGAGCTCAGAACTTTAGTATTTTGGGGTTGCAAGTATAAAACCGCATTATCACAGTATATAGCATTTTGCAAAACTAGTTGATAAGAGATGATTTTTAAGATTTAATTTTGTTGGCCTTTTAAAAGGTATTGTATTCAGTTTTCATTAATTATGACCATGTAGACCATAGTGCCTAGATTGCTACAAAAGATGCAGTACAGTGTTATGAAGAACAAATAAGGAATGTGAAAATGCTCAGAGAACTACAGGGTCCCATTAAAATTCTTGAGTTATGTTCTGTTTGTTGTTTTCCTGATTTTTCTTTAATACAGCCAGCATCTTAAACTGGGTATACCAGTAGATGCCAAACAAAGTCCTATTAAAATTAAAATTAAAATTTTATCATTATTTACTAACAGATAAATAATGATGTGTAGTCTTTTTGTAGGAGGAGATAGAAGATAAAATCAGATGAAGACCTAGGTGAAACTCCTATTAAAAACTCCGAGATGTTTATAGTTTGCTCTTTTGTAATGAATTATTTGAGAAGTCACCTATTTACTATTTCTTTTTCCCCTGCCAGGCTATAAGGTAATTGGGAGTAAGGACTCAGTGGATGTATCCTCCACTGCCTCTCCAGTGCCTAGCACAGTGACAGGCAATTCGAACGCACTCAAGGATTTATTGATATGAATTAACAGATTGTGTTTCATTGATTTTTTTTCACCTTTCTTTTTGACTACAAAGTAGTATCTACTTTTATTAAGCAGGAAAATATCACCTCTAGCTGTTGCTACTTCTAACATTTTAGTACATTTCTTTCAAGACAGTCAATTCGAATGGACTCAAGGATTTATTGATATGAATTAACAGATTGTATTTCATTGATTTTTTTTCACCTTTCTTTTTGACTACAAAGTAATACTACTTTTATTAAGCAGGAAAATATCACTTCTAGCTATTGCTACTTTTAATATTTTAGTACATTTCTTTCAAGACTTTTTATTATGCTTATTTAAATTGTTGAGACCACATTATATATACAGATTTGTGCCCTGCTTGATTTTTGCTGAATGTTATATCAACATGGTATATCAATATGTTTATATCAATGTTTTGCTGAATGATATATCAGTATGTTATATCAATATGTTTTGTTAGATCATTGAAAACTTTCATAAGTATCATTTGAAATGGCCATAATGTAATAGCATATTTCTTAGTCATTTCTAAAATTTTAGCATTTACTACCTTACTTTTGCTATTATAAATAATCCTGGATTTTAAAAAAGTTTTTAATCCATTTTTAATTTTTTTCACCTTGGTATAGATTTCTAAAATGAGAATTACTAGTAAGTCAAAGAATATGAACATTTTTAGAATTCTTAATTATATTGTCAAAAATTCCTTTGTGGAACTGTTACATCATTTTGCATTTCTACCATGAGAGAGTCCATTTTTCAACCCATTGCCAGACTTAATGCTATTTTAAAATCTTTGCTAATTTAGTAGAAGACAATGGTATGTCATTATCATTAGCATGTCTATGATTAGTAGGGAAGTTAAACTTTTTTTCTCAAATGTCCGTTAGCCATTCCCTTTTTCTCACCAGTAATTTTCTGCTTATGTCCTATTCTAGAGTCAGTACTTTTTGATGTGCTTTTTATTTACTAAGGTTGATAAGTGTCACATATATAACAAATACCATTTCCCAGTTTTAAAATTTTTATTATCTTTCAATATGCTAGAGGGTTTTTTTTTAATTACAAATAATTTTTTTAATGTTTATTTTTGAGAGAGAGACAGAGCATGAGTGGGGCAGGGGCAGAGAGAGAGGGAGGCATAGAATCTGAAGCAGGATCCAGGCTCTGAGCTGTCAGCACAGAGCCTGACACAGGTCTCGAACTCACAAACCATGAGATCATGACCTGAGCCAAGTTGGCTGCTTAACCGAATGAGCCACTCAGGTGCTCCAGTATGCTAAAGTTTTAAAGTAAATAGTCATTTTTTTAAAAGTTTTATTTAAGTAAGCTCTACACCCAGCATGGGGCTCGAACTCACCACCCCAAGATCAAGAGTTGTATGCTCTTCCAACTGAGCCAGCCAGTCGCCTTGTAAATAGTCATTTATGTTTATTATTTCCCTTTGCAATTTTTCTCACCGCTGTGAAGTTTAGGAAGTTCTCTATTAAGAAATCAGATAAATACTCCCTTTTTTCCCATATGGCTTTTAAGGGATTAATATGAAGTGTAGCAATTATGGTAATTATTTTGCACTTAAGTGTTTAATCTGTAAGGAATTCATATTGCCTGATATTATATGAAGCTATAAATTTGATTTTTTTCCAAATAGCAAACCAGTTATTCCAACACCATTTGTAGAGTAATTCTTTACATTTCATTCTTAGTGTAGTCATGTATTTTTTATGATGTTTGTGTCAAGCCAGTTCTGTCATTTCCGTAACTAAAATGATACAGTGCAACATTACATACAATCATGTGTAACTGTAATGTAACTTAGGTTTCTGTGCTGCTTTACAGATTGAATGTAGAAACCGACACTCCAGGAAGGAGACCAAAAATCAGTTCTTTATCCCCTCAAGGGCCTGTTAAACTCCAGGAAGCATCATATTCCGATGCTAATCAAATTGTCTCACAGAACCCTTCTTCACATGGGACTAAAAAAGATTTAACTAAATATGACAATTTTAAAGATATTAAATTGACAAATGTTAGGAGCAAGGCTGACCATGGAATTAAAAACTTTTGCGGTCCTAAGATTGCCAAAGATGTGAAACCAAAAACAGAAGGCCAAGCAAGTGAAAAACAATGGCCTCATTTACTCACTCAGGGGGAGAAGTTGAAAGAACTCAAGAAAGAAAGGTACAGGAAATTTAGAGACAGTTCTGAAAAATGTGTTTTGGGGAAACGCAAGAGAATCCATTTTTCTCAGGATTGTAATTCCGACAAGATAATCAAGGAATCCCTTGAATCTAGAAGAAGGAAGATCAGTTTCAAAATCCCAATAAAATCCCGTGATACTCTCCAGAAGCTTGTAGAAGAGAATGTCTTCAATTTAGAGTCTAACAATTCAAAGACTAAGCAGGAGAAGAAAGAAAGACTGAAAGGTTCCCAAGCTTCATTAAATTTGACTAGGCACAAAAGTGAACATTTATTTTCAGAATCCACGTATAAACAGTCTGTACATGAGTGGAAAGGAAAATATCATCATGAGCATCGAGAAAGTAATGATTCAGGTTTTGGTGAAAACCCAATCCAGGTAAGGTGGTACAAAATGAGAATGTCGGTTGTAGCAAAGAATTCTAATAACAGTCAGGTTTGAGTTTTTTCTATTATTAATAGTGATCACAGAGAGCAGATTCACCTTAGAAAGATATTTGTTGGTTCCTTTATTTTACTTTTTTAATTCCAACCTCCTTAGGAAGATAATCCCAGTAAGTATCAAGGATACTTGGTAATAGAAGGTAATTGTGAAAAGGTAGAAAGCAGCACTTACAGAGAGTCCTTTCAAAAAAGCACTGTGACCGTCTCTTAGGCTCTTCTCTAACCCTGGTTACCATGAAACATCCAGGTTACTCTTCTGAAGAGCTATTCCTTTAACGAGTTGTTTTGGAGTGCCACTACCAGGCACCGCAATCACAGTCTCTGTTTTCAGAGACTCCTTCATGTGAAGAGACACACAAGCAATCATCTTAAGTCTAATAAGTACTTATCACTTAACCTGGGAATACAGAGCCAGGGAATAATGGCCTTGTACACTGTAGAGGGGTTACTTAAGAAAGGTTTGCTGGACAGGGTCACATTTAAACTGAGAGCTAAAGAATGAAAAGGAGTTATTCAGGTGAAGCCAGGTAGGGTGGGATGGGAGAAGCAGGGATGTTCCAAGCAAACGGAACTAGTATACAGAGATCCAGCCTGGAAAGTTTGGCACATCTCTTTTGCCTCTAAATTATGCAATAAATCAACACGTGTGGACTAGTTGGAGAACCTAATCTCTCTAGCCTCGTTCCTGTGGCAAATAAAATTATTTATCTTTATAACTTTTTTTAATGTTTATTTTTGAGGGGCAAGGGAGGGGCAGAGAGAGAGGGAGACCCAGACTCTGAAGCAGGCTCCAGACTCTGAGGTGTCAGCACAGAGCCCGATGCTAGGCTCGAACTCAGGAGCCGTGAGATTCAGACCTGAGCTGAAGTCGGACACTTAACCGACTGAGCCACCCAGACACCCCTAGAATTATTTACCTTTAAGAGAACTTAAGAACTTTGGAATTTCACAACTTCCGACAGTCTGATGTTTAGAGACTGCTTATAAACAGGGGTAGTTGAGCCTACCTGCTTTTAGAAACGAAGACTATAAGATACTTCCTAGGAGACACAGAGGGATTATAACTAGGGAGGCTGGAAGAGCTGGAGAGAGTACTTTTCGTTCAGTGAAACTGAAAGAGTCCAAAGAAGAAAACAGTTGAGTTTGTTCTTTTTATTGCTTTCTTAAAAGAAAGCTCCAGTTTTCTGGGGTTACAACCAGTTCTCTAGAGAAAATGTGAGAAAGGAATTTGAAGTTGCAAGATGTTCAGTGACACTTTGGTGTCATTGCTTGATGTTCCCCCTGTACTGTGCATGTAAGGAACAGTACGAGAAAGCCCCACAATACACCTTACAGTCTCTTTTTGTCTCTAAATAGAATTACCACATAAATCAAAAGAGGTACTTAGCATGAATATTAATTAAGTTGTAGGAGAAGCAGTTTTTGCATGATTACTTTCCAGTTCTTGGCATTAAAACTCCTTATAAACTGTTCCTTTGATAGCAATCTAATCTGACTTAAAGTCCTTTAAACACAGGAGCAGCAAGTAAATATTGTTCTTATCTTAGTATATTCTCCTTAGCATATTATTGACAGTAGTTAATCTTCCTAACATTATGTTTGTTGTTTTTTCTCACAAATTCTTTAATAGATAATTATCTTCCTAAAATAATGAGTGTACTTCACAAGGAAATAATTATTATTTTCTGGACTTGGTAATCCTGTTATTTAGTAATCCCATTATGCTTTCCAAAGAGAAAATACCTTCTTTTGTTTCTTATATTTTATAGCCCTTTGATAGAGACCCCTTCATTTGCACCCTCCCCTCACCATTGAAAACTAATGGTCCAGAGATTTATAGTTCATAGCCCACTTTTATTTTTATTTTTTTATAGGCCACTTTTATAAATAGCATCCTCCTCCTACAGGTCTATGAGGTAGCAATTCAACAGTTTATCAAACATTAATTAAAGCTGCCTATTATGTATCAGGTACACTTCTAGTTTCTAGGGATTTAGAGATGAATAAGATGATCTTTACCCTCAAGAATTTCCCAAGGAGGCAGATTAGTAGACAAATACAGTTGCAATACAGTGAAATAAACATTAGAGCCCTAAGAATTGGGCTGGTGTTAGTATAAATTTGAGGGTGAGTTAAGGAAGGGCTGACAGAGTGGAGATTCTTGAGCTTGGTGTGAAGGGTGTGTAGAGCAAGAAATAAGAGTTCTCCCAGGGTGGAGGGCCAGCATGGTAATGGTAGCAAGTCATGAGATTGTCCCATGGCAGAGCATACATGGGGACTTAAGTTGTTCAGTATGACTAGAGTTGAGATGTGTAGAAAATCTGCATATAGGAGAGGGAGTGGGAGAGGAAGCCAGGGTCAGGCAATGGACTACTTTGTATCCCATGGGAAAGATTTGTTCTGTTTTATCTTGTGTGCCTTAGATGGTGTAGAGAGCCACTGAAATATAACCAGGGAAGCAGTATAATCTGGTTTTCAGTTTAGAATCACTCCAGTAGATAAAGCCATTGTTACTCTCATTATTGATACTCCTTTTTGTCATCCCCAGGGAAGGCTGTATCCCAGTTCATTTATTTAATAAAGTGTGGTAGGAGGAGGCAAACAAATGCCCACTGAGACTTTCTTTTTTTAATAGGGAGAAGTCTTCAGGAACAATTGACCTGAACTTTTTGGTTTGGAGAAGTGATAGAAAATTTATTAAAGTCACTGGAAGTGGCCTGTGGTCAAAGAGAGTGAAGGGTAGTAGTGACCTATGTAAATGAACAACAGGACTTTAAATATCAGGAGTTGTAGGAAATTCTGATAATATTCTCTGGCTTGTTTGGCACTTCCTAATGGAAGAGAACCTTAAGGATCTGGTGAGATTTAAAGTCAATTGGAGAGGGGCGCCTGGGTGGCGCAGTCGGTTAAGCGTCCGACTTCAGCCAGGTCACGATCTCGCGGTCCGTGAGTTCGAGCCCCGCGTCGGGCTCTGGGCTGATGGCTCAGAGCCTGGAGCCTGTTTCCGATTCTGTGTCTCCCTCTCTCTCTGCCCCTCCCCCGTTCATGCTCTGTCTCTCTCTGTCCCAAAAATAAATAAACGTTGAAAAAAAAAATTTAAAAAATAAAGTCAATTGGAGAAGAGATTGTAAAATCCAGAGTCATGACACAGTAAAGCTATAATGAGCCTATGTGTGTGATGTATATGGTGGTATAGCATGTGAAGACTGGCGTTGGGAATTTAGGATGAAAGCTGAATTCCCAGTAAAGCAACCTATGATATACTTGTTTAAAGGGAATATGTAATTTATACCATATATAGCTGCCTGTAAAATACATGTGAATTTGGTGCTATTTTGCAGAATTCTTAGAAGATGATTTAATTTAGTAGTGGCTTTTGCTGAATTCCCTATTACCTGTACATAGGGTCAGGTAAATCTCATCTGCTTAGCAAAAGTGCCAGTGGAAAATTGGAGAGATTTTTTACTTCTGTTGAAAGACAAAAATTAAAACACAGACCTCTGGTGCTCTACCCATGTATGAGACAACTATGCATTTTTCAGCTTTTCTCCTTCAGCCATATCATAATCTTTAGGTTCCCTTTGTTTGTCATGTTACTTTTATTTTTATTTTTTTAAGAAGATGTTAAGTAATCTCTACACCCAATGTGAGGCTTAAATCCACAACGCCGAGATTAAGAGGCACATGCTCCACCGACTGAGCCAGCCAGATACCCCTGTCATGTCACTCTTACAAGTGGGTCAGCTACTCCTGGGTGAAAATTTCCCACCATTGAAGGCCAGCTTGTTTACCTTGGTCATGGCTCTTTCTGTTTCTCAGGGTGGCATGTAGTTCTACTCTTATAATACAAGTATTTTTAGGTGAAGGAGTAAGCGTTAAACAATTTCAATCTTGTTTCATTGACTTAACCTTTCTTCTAAAAAAAATTTTTTTTAACATTTATTTATTTTTGAGAGACAGAGACAGAGTGTGAGTGGGGGAGGGGCAGAGAGAGAGGGAGACACAGAATCCAAAGCAGGCTCCAGGCTCTGAGCTGTCAGCACAGAGCCCGATGTGGGGCTCGAACTCAAGACTACAAGATGATGACCTGAGCTGAAGTCAGACACTCAACTGACTGAGGCATCCAGGTGCCCCTTGTTTCACTGACTTAACAGAATGAGGCTTTTTTATTTTAGGGGAAGTTTCTATCTAGGGACAATTTGCGTCTTAGGGGGGGCATTTGGCTGTTAAGTAGATAGAGACATATTTGATTGTCAAGATTGGGAGGGAGAGGTGCTGCTGGTATCTAGTGGGTAGAGGCAAGGGATACTGTTAAACAGCATAATGCACATAATAACCCCTAAAACAAAGAATTATCTGATGCCACGTGTAAATAGTGCCAACGTTACAAACCCTACCCTAGGTATATACTTCATCTTTAACTAATGAAATTACTTTTCATTTCAGAGTTTTGAAGCTCCATGTTCTTCAGTGTCCCTTGAAAGTATTCAAGATACAGATCAAGAGGTTACTGATATACTTATTTACTTTGAATATTTTAATGAAATTAAGTCAAACAGTTCCTATATTTATAGATTAAAAAAATGGCTATGAAAACCTTGATAATATGAAAATAACAGTGCTATCTCTACCTAATATGTAAGTTTGTGAAGTCATGAAAAACTAGCTGGAAAAATACTTAATTTACTTGATCACCTTTATGTCTTTGTTTTTAATAAGCTCTAAACTGGTTTGAATAAAGAGCATGGAGCCTGTGTCCACAAGTTATATGAATTCTCATTTAATGTTATCACACATTTGCATGCTTATACCTAGGCTTGCCAAACTGCAGTGTGATATTAACTTGTTGGCTTCATTTTTCTAATCAGCAATAAGATGAAAATATTATTGAAAATGAGAGTGCCTGCATTTTTTTTTTTAACCTGTTGGCTTCATTTCCCAGCTGGAATCTCCTGATTGACTCTCATGAAATTATTGCATAGAATTTTATGTTTCTTCGTCCTATATTAAAATTAAATTCGTGGAACACTTTGTTGCAGTTTCCTATTTGAAGAAGACTTTACAACCATATTGATTACTTCTTATTTGTGATGGTCAGTTGTATTTTTCTGTCTTGTAGGTCGGTGCTCCTTGAGAGAAGAAAGATTTCTCACCCTCTCTCTAAAACTAGATTATATTTACAGTCCTTCACATCAAAATATATCAGGGAGTTACTTCCCTGAAGTGAGAAGGGTCTTAAAGTCTAGATTTCAGTTTTTGATGGTTCATAAACAGTCTTAGAAATCGCAAGAAGAGGTTCATCATCCAGATGTAAACATATTTGGCTCCCAGAGTACGTTGAAGTGAAAACATGGGATGAGGATGAACTTATTTTGAAGGGCTACTAGGGAGTAGGTTTTGTGCAGGGAACTTCACATTATTTCAGTCCTCACAAAACTACTACCAGGAAATAGATATTTAACATTCCTATTTCATAGGTGAACAAATGGAGACCCAAGTTAAATACTTTGCTTGCCTAAGGTTACAGAAGTAGTAAGAGAAGAGCTAGTTTTAAAACCCTGCATTTTGTTTATAAATCTGTATTCTTTCATCTTGCGGCCTCCGTATTTTTGTAATTTTTTTCCCACAAACCATTTCATCTTCGGTGAATTAATTAGAATTAATAGCTTTCCAGCCTTTTTAATCTGCAGAGGAGATAATTCAAAATATTTTACTGTGGGTCTTTTGCTATTTAGATGCAGATAGTGGAAGAGCTCCATGCTGTACGTGTGGGGAAAAGTGTGGATTTACCTGTGGTTTTATCTTCCGGGGAGTTAACGAGCATGGAGATTGACTTGGTGGACGATGATGTACATTCCTCTCCTGGTATATCCTATATGTAGATGATGATGTTTATGATCTCCTGTACTTTCTTAGGAACCTAATGTGCGAACATTCAATTTTTATAATATTTAGATGAAAGATGTTAAGGTGTGCTCATTTGAAATAAGGAAGTATGATATATTTCTTCTAGCTATAGGAATCTGGTCAGATATTTGTTTATCATCACATTATTGGGCAGTTGGCCATATTTTTGCCAAGCATCAGTAATCACAGTTATCTATTATTGTGCTATCAATGATCAGAGTTGTCTTTTAGTCTTGGTCTTAATCCTAACTTTTGACAATGTCAGCTTATGTAAAGCACTGATCAGAAATAATGCAAATTGCTCAAAGGTATTATACTCATGGTTTTTTTATTTATGTAGTAAAGTTTTGATCAATTTTACCACTGGGAGAAGATAATGATAGATATTATCCAAAATCTATTAGCATACTGGTTTGAGTTGTGTTTATAAAAATAGTATTGCTACATCACAGTCACATTGCACTTTTCAGTTTGCTAAGTGTTTTCCTGTGCATTAATTTGTCTGATCCTCACAATGGCCCTGTGAAATAACAATGCTGGTGTTATCTGTTTTCTTTCACTTTCACGTGTTTTTCTTTTCAACTACATTTCACTCACCGTATATTAAAATTAGCTTATAAATTATAAGTGCACAGCTGCTAGTGATGCAGAATGGGGCGTGGGAGCATAGTTAACTGCCAGGGCAAATTAGTTCATGATTTAAAGTCCACTCAGAAACAATTCATGATGTTTTACTAGTAGATAATTAAACATTGATTACTGTCCCTTTAAGGATTAAACAGTTTTGTTTTTGTTGTCTAAAGGATTGCCTTGTCTTAAGAATACCATCAAAGTTCTATGATACCAAATTTTAGTTATTATACAAGTCTTTTATCAAGTGCCATGAAATCCTAACTTTACTCTTTTTCTCTAGCAAAAAGTGCTTCAGATAAAAAGCTTCTAATTGTTATTGACACAAATATTCTGATGAATCATCTCAAATTTGTTAGAATTTTGAAGACCACAGAAATCCCAGGTACTTATAAAACGTGATTCTGATTTTCTTACTTGAGTTGATATTTTATATCAACAATGATGTGGGTTTTTTTTTTTTCACAAACACGTTTCCACCTGGATATGCTATGAAGTATATATATTAATATATGTATGTTAATAATCAGCATAAATTAAAAAAAGAGCCTTGAGAGGTTAACCTAACAATCTAAACTTACTCTTCTTTGATCTCCAATAGTATTTATTTTTGTACAATTATTTGATTCTTGTATCTGTTTTTAATTTCCATTTTTTATGTGTTATCTCTTCATTAAAAAAATTTTTTTCATGTTTATTTATTTTTGAGAGAGAGAGCTAGTGCGTGGGAGGGGCAGCAAGAGAGGGGGACAGAGGATCCCAAGGGGCTCTGTGCCGACAGCTCAAACTCACAAACTGAGCCATGAGATCATGACCTGAGCTGAAGTCAGACACTTAACTGACTGAGCCACCTAAGTGCCCCATGTTATCTCTTCATTTAGACTGTGAATTCCTTACTTCAAAACTTCCAATTCTCCTAAAACAATTCGATTTAGTAACCAAATAAACATTTGTTGACTTCTAAGAAATCTTTTTTTATTTTTCAGGCTTTGATAGACTTGTGTTAATAATTCCCTGGGTGGTTGTACAAGAGCTAGATCGTATGAAGGCAGGAAAACTACTAAAACACGCCCAGCACAAAGCTATACCTGCAGTTCATTTTATCAATGACAGTCTCAAAAATCAAGATAAAAAGCTATGGGGTCAATCAATACAACTCGCATCTCAAAAAGTTTGTAAGTATGGTTCTCTCAGGATGTTTTCTGATTAAGGTTTATTTGGGTGCTGACTCATGATTGGAGGGAAGTGGTGCAAAATGTAAAAGAAAAATTTATAATTAGGCACCTGGTTGGCTCAGTCGGTGGAGCAAGTGACTCTTGATCTCAGGGTCATAGGTTCGGTGGGAGGATTACTTAAAAAAAAAAAAAATCTTTATTATTTCTTCTAAAATTTATTTATTTATTTTGAGAGAGAAGAAGAAGGGAGGGTGTGGGGAAGAAGCAGAGAGATAGGGAGAAGAGAGAATCCTAAGCAGGCTCTGCACCGCCAGTGCAGAGCCCGAAGCAGGGTTTAAACTCACAAACCATGAGATCATGACCTGAGCCGAAGTCAAATGCTTAACCAACTGAGCCACCCAGATGCCTGATAAAAACAACAGCAACAAAAAAAAATCTTAAAAAATAATTTATAATCATTGGAATATGGAATGGCCAGGTGTAGTGATGGTTTGGGATATTTGGTTAGGTTTGGTTCAGAGGTTTTGATTTTGATTTTTCTGCTTCTTAGGCTATGTCTATTTCACAGTGACTGTACAATTCTGTATGTATAGTTTTCTCTATTACAATACTTTGGATCTTTTTGTGTGTGTGTGAATATCATTGTTGAGTGATGAAGCCAGTAAGTGACCTAGGTTTCAAATCTGTCACTGTATGCAGTTAGTATGATGCAGGGAGAGGCATTGTTTTCCTCTGGTTTGTCAGAATCGGTAATAAGGGGGTGTTTGTATAATAAAGGTCCCAAAATTTTTTTTAAGTCATTTTTAAATCACTCTAGTCTTAGGACCTAAGTATATTCTTTATGTTTTTTATATATAACTTTGTGGAAAAAATCTGTGTGTAAAACAACACTGTTGTCTCTGCAGAGTTTATACATATATTTAGAGAATTTATTTCATTCTTTAAAACTTTGTTTCTTCTTAATTCATAATTATGTATATATTATGTACATTCACTCTATTTTAAATATCGTGGGTAGGGGCGCCTGGGTGGCTCAGTCGGTTGAGCGTCCGACTTCGGCTCAGGTCACGATCTCGCGGTCCGTGAGTTCGAGCCCCGCGTCAGGCTCTGGGCTGATGGCTCAGAGCCTGGAGCCTGCTTCCGATTCTGTGTCTCCCTCTCTCTGCCCCTCCCCCGTTCATGCTCTGTCTCTCTCTGTCTCAAAAATAAATAAATGTTAAAAAAAAATTTAAAAAAAATTATCGTGGATATGTTTTCTGCTATATTCACATACACCATAAGATATGAAAGAATTCATCCTATGATGAATCTAATTATGGTATTAGCCCTGTTAAGAGTTGTTAGTCCAATCTTTGGAGAGAAAGGGTCTCCCCCATTCATTCACTCATTCATTCCATTTACAAATGTTTATTAGCTCTTAGTATATATTCCATATACAATCTTTGTGTATTTTGAGCTTCATGTGGTATGTTTAAGAGCTTTCAAAGGGAAACCACACATATCACTTATTAGAGTTAAGACCAAAATGTTTGAACATTCATATTAAACCAAACATCTTAGATGGTCTTTTTTTTGAACTTTTCATTATGAAAAATTTCAAATGCAGAGGTAGAATAACATATGAATCCCTATGTACCTATCACTCATTTTCAGTAATTATCAGCATTTTGCAAGAACTGCTGCAGGAATTTGAAGCAGATCTCAGATTTATCATATCGTATCATTTTTACCCATAAATACTGTGGTATGTGTTGCTAACCGACAATACTTCTATTTTTAAACAACCACACGATTAACAAACATAACCCCTCATCCAAACCATCATGTCAGTGAAAGCCCAAACCTTAAAAAGAGATGGGAACTTTTTTTACTCTTAATCTTTTATTTAAAATTTTTTGGTTTGTTGATATAAATTATATTTTGTTATATAACAGCATGGATAAGGATGATAATAATAGACAACATTTATATGGCCATTATTCTCCAGGCCCTTTTCCAGGTGCTTTAACAGCTGATATCATTCAAACCATGTAGTACTTGTAGAAGATACTCTTATTAGCCCCATTTTAGAGATGAGGAAATTGAGACCTAGAGAGGTTAAGAACTTATCCTATATAGCATATCTATTTCTTCAACAGATTTGCTTTGAAAATTATTTTAGAGTTCACTTTGAATAGATATTTTGGCCACATTTGTTATTTATAGATGCTTAGAATGATTCTTTTGACTTTTCCATTTTCATGTGCTTTTTGATAATTTAACTTATTCACTCTGTGCTGTTTTTGATGATTAAGGAGGATAAATTATAGTAGTGGTCTCAAACTTCTGTGTTGTTTAAATTTCTGGGTGTCTTCCTTGAAATCCCTATTTCCCTTTAATATTTGAATGGTATTATTCTATCTTAGTTTTATTAAACTGCTGAAATTACTTTTAGTTATAAGGTTGTAGATATAAAATTAGGTTATTTGTGTAATTATCTATGTCAGGTATTTATGTCACATAAAGAACTTAATGTGTTTCTCCGTATCACTGTTTCCTTCAGACTGATCATTAAAAACATTCTTTGTATAAAGTACAGTGTACTTAATAAGTTTATTCTGTTGATAATGATTTTATGATATCCATTAGAAATATCTTTAGGCTTTTTTATCATAGTAAAATTACATTTTATATTCTAATGATGAACTAATATTCTTATAAAAAAATTCAGGATTATTGAGTAAAATTAAAGTGCTTGTTTGGAAAAAGGCAAGAACAAGTTGATCTTTTATTACACTTTACAAATGTTAAGCACGTTTGCAACCAACTCTAATAATTGCTAATTTGTATGTATTATATTCCTTTTATATAATCATTGAGTGTGATAACAATGCATTTTTGAACCCTTTTCAAAATTGTGTTTATTTTATATAGTGTTCAGTATGGTGAGAAGAGAATAGGATTTGAAATCTGATTAACCTGACCTGGAGAAAGTTAAAGTTGAGGAAACTAAGGAAATGAAGTAGGGAAAAATAACCTCCAGCTCAAAAAATGTGAAGATTTGTTGAGTTCATATATTAAAGTACTTGATGGTTTATGGCCTAGAATAGGCGTAATTCTCTTGTGTCCTTGTTAAATGGAAAGCTTATACAGCTTGACCAAAACAAAACAAAAAATCCCTTTTTCCAAAATGGACAAAGAATAATAGATAATTCACAAAAGAAGAAGTACAACTAGTCTGCTCCTTGTTCACTGCAAATATTTTCCTGTTTGCCATTTTTAATGTTGTTAATATCTTATGTATAGACATTTTTAATTTATATCTTTCACTTTTTCTTTCCTTATTTCTTTTTATTGCTTCTAAGTTTAGAAAGCTATTCTTTTGCATTTTAATCAGTGCTTCAGTGCTTTGGGAATATGAATTAGTAACTTTTCAGGAGAGCAATTTATCAGTGTTATCGAGAAGCCTAAAGATAAAATTCTCTTTCTAGAAATGTATTGTAAACAGATAATCAGATGCTTACAGTGATTTATATAATATTCATGACAACATTATTTATACAGCAAAAAAATTGAAACAACCTTACTGCCTAACAATTAGAGAAGTTACATACAATACTATAGCTATGTGAGAGAATATTACTATATTTCAAAAATGTTAATAACAAGATAGAATTTAAAAGAATAAAAAGTATCATCCCAAATTTGTTAGATTTATATAGATTATTATGTATACTTACAGATGATGAATATTGGATATATTTTAGCTGATGGAATTATGAGTTATTTTTAATTCTTCATATTTTCTGTATTTTCCAGATCTTCTATAATCCTTATTTTTATAATAAGGGCAAAATAATCTGCCACTCCCACACCTGACATTTTTCCATCACTTTTATATTTTCTTTTATGATCTTTTTGTTGATTCATTTATTTGCCAAATATCTGTACAGACACTGTTCTGGGGCTGCATCAGTGAATGACATAGACAAAGCCTGCTGTTGAGAAGCTTAAATTCTATTAAATATTAAAAATTATATTAACCATAATTTATACATAATTTTGTGGGGTTTTTGATATTAAGAGTAGAGGTCATTGCTGTTGTGCCATTTAAGCTGCATTTTAGGTAATAAGTTTATATTACTTAAAAAGCACTTGTTATTGCCATTTATTGGGCCAACTGCTTCATATTAATTTTATTACATTCTCCTGAGTAAGCGGTTTGCCCAAGATTACATACCTAGTAAGTGGGAAAGCAGGGATTCAAACCCACATTGGTCTGTTTCCAGAGTTTTCATTTTGTTCAGTTTTGAACAGCACCTGAGCAGGTGCTCAAAAATATTTGTTGAATAAATATTTCATGACTATTCTTGTAATTTTAGGTGTGTTTTCAAGCCCCACATATTCTAGAAAAAGTGAGGGAACAGATAATCTTGAACTTTGATGCCTTTAGAGCAGTATACTGTAACCTTTAACCTCCTTTCATCTTCTGAATTCGGTTGTTGCAAGCTAACTAATGTTTTTTGTTTTGTTTTGTTTTTCTTTTTGTTTTTTGCTGCCCATTTTGCCTTATTGTGGTATTTACTCTGGACTAGAAGAAGGAAAATAGGCTGCTGTAATATATGTCTGCTGGCTCACTGGTTCTCTGATAAAAGGACTGAATCACATCTCCCTCAGGCTTATGCTCTGCAATCATTTCAGTTCGGTCTAGATTTCACTATGAGATTGTCAACTCCTCAGGAGTTTGTATATCCAGTTACTTAGTACAGGGGCCTGGGTACAAATTCAGCCTTATATAAAATGTATTACTTGAATGAATGAGTTTTCTAATTTGAACGTTTAGAAGAGTAAGTAATGTAGGCTAAACATTGAGGTTAGGTAAAAAGGGTATAGTCTGGGAACAAAGTTGGAGCTCATTGTCTACTATGCATTGAATTTTAGTGTGTAAGAGACTTGCCAAGGGGTTTAATTGGTGTTTGTGTCTAGGCGCCAAAGGATGTGACCCTGAAATCTTAAGAAGCACCATAGGGAGTTTTGAGGCAGGCAGTATAAGGACCTAGGAAGAACACTGTCTTTGGTCCTGTTTCTACACATTACATTATTTTCTCAAAACCCAGACTTTTACATCATGCTTTAGGGCTTGCAGAATGCCAGCAGACACTCTGTCAGCCACTGACGCTTGTTAGAAATTACTTTTTGTGTTTTCTGCCTGGGGCCCGTATTACCTTTTCCTATATATCTCTGAATGTTAATTGCTTAGAGATTAAGGAAAAGCAGACACATGAAAATGGTTCCATTGCTGGTAGAACAGTTGTTTATTATTTTACAGACCTTTTTGTTAAGTGGAGATAATTTCAAGAATGATGTAATCATCTAACTTACTTATCTCTACGTGACTGAACTGAGAGACTGGAATTCATATCTTTCTTTAGGTTTCTAGTATGGCATTTAACTCACTGACCACTTTTCTTTCCTTTGCATGTATTAATAGGCATATCCTATTCCATTTTAGTAGTAAACTACATACTTTACTAAATATGCGATTATATGCTACCTGAATTCTAGATCCAGAATTTTTAAGGCATTGTTTTGCCGTGTTGTATTTTTCTCTTTTTATTTAAGAAGTTTTATTTCTTTTAGATGTTTTTGATTTGTAAATATGGCCTGGGCTGCTTAGATTTTTGGTGTGCTTATTGACTGTTGCTTTTGCTAAATTTGCAGATGGGCTGAGTGATGAGAACAATGATGATCGAGTATTAAAATGCTGTCTTCAGTACCAGGAATTATTCCCTTCTTCTGTTGTTATTCTGTGCACGTGAGTTTCATGGTCATTTTACTCTTTTTTAATTTTTTAATCTTAAAAAAAATGTTTATTTTTGAGAGGGAGAGAGCATGAGCAGGAGAGGGGCAGAGAGAGAGAGAGAATCCCAAGCAGGCTCCACGCTGTGAGCACAGAACCCAAGGTGGGGCTTCATCTCAGGACCCATGAGATCATGACCTGAGCTGAAGTCAGATGCTCAACCGACTGAGCCATCCAGGCGCCCCATACCAAAGAATTTTTAAAAGTCATAATGTACCCACCATGCTAAAGATGAAGAACATACATCATTTTCTAAATCTGCTAGTAAACATACTCAATTTTATTTCACATCCTCATAACGTGTAAGCTATAGAAGAATGAGATTTGAATCTTATAAAGTCTCATTTTGGTTTTATTTATAAGACATTCAGAAACCTTTTGTAAAAGCTGGGGGCAGCCAATTTTATCTTCCAATAAAATAGTTCAGAAATAAAATTCTGACAAATTTGTGGTCATGAGGCAAAAAGGTTAATTAATTAATTAATTTGTGGGGAAGAGGCAGTTTATGTTGCAGTTATGCCCCTGGTGCCTGTTAATAGAGTGAGGGCTGGAATGCCAGATCTCCCACTTACCAGCTTTGTGACCTGGGCAAGTTGCTTAGTTAGTTACCTCACATGTAAAATACAGGGGGGATATTAATCATAAAATGATCTCAGTAGGAATTTCCTCCTCCTCCTCCTCCTCCTCCTCCCCCCTTTCTCCTCCTTTCTTTCCTCTATTCATAACTTATTTCTAAGGTAAAACTAACATAATGTTAAACAAATTTGTATTCACTGTGTATGAAAAAAGGCTCTGAAGGAACTGAGAAGGGCAATTTTGTACTGCAGTTTTAGTCTGAATTTTTTTTCACTGAAAAATGGAGCTTTTACTCTTTCTCAATCATGCCTAAATTCACTATGAAATGCAGTGATGAGAGAAATGAATAGACCTAAGGTTTTTCTTGTAAGGGGGCTTGGTCAGTTATCATTTTACATATATGTAATTTTTCGAGGCGCCTGGGTGGCTCAGTCAGTTAAGTGTCTCACTTTGGTTCAGGTCATGACCTCATGCCTCATGGGTTCGAGCCCCATGTCAGGCTCCATGCTGACAGCTTGGAGCCTGGAGTCTGCTTTGGCTTCTGTGTCTCCCTCTCTCTCTGCCCCTCTCTGCTCATGCGCTCTCTCTCTCTCTCTCTCTCTCTCTCTCTCTCTCTCCTTCAAAAATAAATATTAAAAAATTTTTTAAATATATGTAACTGTTCCCTCACTGTTCACTACATCTAAAGTAATAAAACATTACATGTTAACTGTAATGGAATTAAAATTTCTTTAAAATGTAAAAAAAAAAATTCCCATTTTAGCTGTCTTCAAAGATGATGTTATTCTTTTCAGGATTAGAGGAAATACTAGAGATTTATGTCTAGCATATTTAAAATTATTTTTTATCTAGGGCATAATATATCATGGAGTTTGTGGAAGGTTGAAATAGATAATATGTTAATCATTTTGAAATGAGCTAAGCTAAATTTGAGGAATGATTGTTATGTAATTGTTTTTTTAGTTCAACTTAGAATGAAACTTAAATTGATGAGACTTTAACAATTCTCCGTTATTTCTGCAGTCAGTGTTTTGGGATTAACAGAGGTAACATTTCTTAGTGAAACGAAAGTTTGTAGTCAGACTGTACTTTTAATTCTAGCACTATCATGTTCCAGGTGAGCCTGTTTTTTCATTTTTATTTTTTCCTTTAAAGGGCTGTAATCATGCCTACTGAGTAAGTCTCACCTACTTACTGTGAGGATAAATTTGTTTTACTTAAATAGATAATGGTAATGATGAAAATATTGATAATGATAGAGCTAGGAGAACCCTTCTACTATACCTTATTTTAAGTACATTATTTTACATTTGCAACCCTGAGTATGGGCCAGCAATACCTAGTTCATATCTCTATCCATTTCTTTCTTCTAAATTCTAGACTAGTATATTCATTCTTATTTGCTGTATTTACTTGGATGTCTCGTAAACATGTGGGACCTGCCATCTCTAGAAATGAACTCTTGGTCTCTCCTTCTAAACTACTATCCATCTGAATAAAAAGTGCCACCGTTGGGGCTTCTGAGTGGCTCAGTCAGCTAAGTATCTGATTCTTGATCTCAGCTCAGGTCTTGATCTTAAGGTCATGAGTTCAGGTCCTGCGTGGGGCTCCGCACTGGATGTGAAGCCTACTTTAAAAAACAAACAAAACCAGGGCATCTGAGTGCCTCAGTTGGTTAAGCATCCAACTCTTGATTTTGGCTCGGGTCATGATCTCATGGTTTTTGGCTCGAGTCCTGCATCAGGCTCTGCTCTGCTGATAGCGCAGAGCCTTCTTGGGATTTTCTGTCTCCCTCTCTCTCAAAATAAATAAATAAGCATTTAAAAAATTTTTAAAGTGCCATCTTCCACCCATTTGCTAAAGCCAGAAACCTAGGAGTCATTTTTGATACTTGCCTCTCTGTCATAATTTATATCCAGTCAAGTAAGGGGTCCTGTGTGATCTTTTCTTTATCTTCCTTGCCAACCTGTGTCAACCAGGTTATTTTTCCACTGCCTTTTTGACTCTAAGACTGATTGTGCTGTGCACTTCCATACTTGCTCTCTTTCATTTATTCTTCAAAAGTAATGTATTTAAAATTTTTTAATTTTAAAAATAGTTGCATTATGGAGAATTTCAAAATACTTAAAGTGAAGAAGAGTTAGTAAACTCTTAAGTATGCAGCTACAATTTTCAAAATTGTTCCATTCTTTTATTATCTATATCTCCATTCACTCCCTGTCCCATGACAGGGAGTATAAAACCCATGAGTGGTTTTATACAGATTTTTTGTGTTTTGAGGGAAAATGTGCCATTTTGGAATGCATAAATCTTAACTATACAATCTTCACAATGGATACACTGGTGTAGCCCACACATTTCTATCGCCTCTTGATAGATAGAAAACTTCTGTCACCCCAGAAAATACTTTTATGCCCTGCCCCTTTGTGCTCTTTTTCTAGTTTCTTTTTATTCTTTTATGTTTTTATTTTATTTTTGAGAGAGAAACAGAGCACGAGCAGGGGAGGGGCAGAGAGAGAGGAAGACACAGAATTTGAAGCAGGCTCCAGGCTCTGAGCTGTCGGCACAAAACCTGACGCACAGCTGGAACTCAAGGACTATGAGATCATGACCTGAGCCGAAGTTAGATGCTTAACCAACTGAACCACTTGGGCACCCCTCTTTTTCTAGTTTCTTAAGGTGGAAGCTGAGATCATTTATTTGAGACTCCTATAAATTTCCCTGTAAGCACTGCTTTAGCTGTATCCCACAAATGTTGATGTTCTATTTTTTTCATTCAATTCAATTGAACTTACCTTTGACAATTAGATGATTGCTGTTTAATTCCAAATATTTGCACATTTTTTAATCTTCTTGTTATTAATTTGTACTTTAATTCCACTTTGGCTTGAGAACATTAATTTATATGGTTTCTGTTCTTTTAAATTTGTTAGTTTTATTGCCAAGAATATGGTCTACCTTGGCGAATGTGTTATGTGCACTTAAAAAGAATTTGTATCCTCTTGTGGGTGGAGTATTCTATAAATTTCAGTTAGGTCAAGTTGGTTGGTAGTATTGTTCAGGTTTTCTATAACCTTACTGATTGATTATTCTGTGATTATTGAGAGAGGAGTGTTGAAATCTCCAACTATAATTATGGGTTTGTTTAATTCTCCTTTCTGTTTTATTTGTTTTGCTTCATGTATTATGAAGCTTTGTAGTAAGATGCATACACATTTAGGATTGTTTAGGATTGTCTTCTTGGAGAATTGACCCTTTCTTGTTGTGTAATGTCTCTCTGTTCCTGAAGTCTCCTTTGTTTAGTATTAATACTAGCATTCCAGTTTTGTTTTCGTTAGTATTTATATTGTATATCTTTTCCTATCCATTTACTTTTAATCTGTGTTTTTATATTAAAGTAAGTATTTTGTGGGTAGTATATGGTCAATACTTTATTCTTTGTCCATTCTGAGAATTTCTTTGATAAGTTTATACCATTCATTTTTAATTAGATCAAAATCTACCTTTTTGCTAATTATTTTCTATTTGTTTCATCTGTTCTTTTTTCTTTTTCTTTCTTTTCTTGAGTTGTGTATTTTTTATGGTGCCATTTTATCTCCATTATTGATTTATTTATACCGTTTCGAAAAAACGTTTTAATGGTTGCCCTAGCATCTAAAGTTTATATCTTACTTGATCAAAATCTACCTTCAGAAAATATTATATTGCTTCGCGTTCCGTGTAAAGATCTTATAATAGGAAGTTTCCAGTTTCTCCCTTTTTTTGTACTATCATTGTAATATTTACTTTTACAGAAATGATAAACACATAATATTTTTGTTACTATTTTTGCTTCCATCATTTACCACTTAAAGCAGAGAAAAAGTGAGTATTTTAATCTTGCATTCCATTTTTTGCCTCTTCATTATTTATATAGATTCAGGTTTCTGTCTGGTGTCATATTCCTTTTGCCTAAATGAATTTCTTTGACATATGCATGCCTACTGGCACCAAACTTTTTGTTTTGTTTATCTCATAATTTCTTTATTTCTTCATTTATTTTTGTTTATTTTTTTATGTTTATTTTTTAAGACAGAGAGTTGGGAAGGAGCAGAAAGAGAGGGAGACAGAGAACCCCAAGCAGGCTCCGCACTGTTAGCTCAGAGCCCAACACAGGGCTTGAACCTACAAACCATGAAATCATGACCCCAACTGAAATCAAGAGTTGGATGGTCAACCGACTGAGCCACCCAGGCACCCCTCTTAATTTATTTTTGAAAGATATTTTTGCTGGATATACAATTCTGGGTTGACTTTTTTTTTTTTTCCTTCCAGTATTTTAAAGAGGTGACTCCATTTTCTTCTAGTTTGTATGGTTTCTGATGAGAAGTCCGATGTAAATGTTATCTTTGTTCCTCTATATGTAATGTGTTTTTTTTTTTTTTGCTCTCTGCTTTCAAGGACTTTTCTTTGTCCTTTGCTTTTTTAGCAGTTTATTTTAGCAGTTTTTAGCAGATATGTCTCTGTTTGTATATGTGTGGTGGGTTGGGGGGCTGAGTAGAGAAGGATTTATCCTGCTTGATATTTTCTGAGCTGCTTTGATCTCTGGTTTCATATCTGTCTTCAGTTTTAGATAATTCTCAGCCATTATTTCTTCAAATATTTTTTCTGCTCATTCCCTCTTTCCTCCTCATATTATAGAATTATACTGTGGTAGCCAGTGACCCCTGTGATCCCTGCTTCTTAGTATGAACGCCCTTGTATAGTCCCCTCCTGCATTGTACCAGGGTTGGCTGTCTGTGTGACAGACAGCATGCATCAGAAGTGATAGCATGTTCCTTCTGTGATTAGATTATAAAAGACTGGGACTTCCTCCTCGGGCACCCTCTTCCTTTCTCCACTCTCAAATCACTTGCTTTGTGGAAGCAAGCTGCCATGCCATAAACAGCCCTGTGGAAGAGGCCCACATGGTGAGAAACTGAAGCCTCCAGCCAAGAGCCAGTGATGGACTAAGGCCTGCCAATAGCCACGTGAATGAGTGCCAATTAAACCTTGAGATGGCTGCAACCTTAGGCAATAGCATATTACAACCTTGTAAGAGACTCTGAACCAGAACCGACCAGTCAAGCTGTTCCCAGATTTCTGATTCTTAGGAACTGTGTGAGAAAATAAATGTTTATTTTAAGCTGCTGAGTTTTGGGATAACTTGTATACAGCAATAGATAACTAATATAGGCACATATGTTAGACTGTTTGATATTGTTCCACAGCTTCTGGATTTTTTTTTTTTTTACTCTCTTTGTATTTCAGTTTGGGTCATTTCTTTTGACCTGTCTTCAAGTTTGTAATGTTTTCCTTGCCTGTGTCAAGTATACTGAGGAACCTGTTGAAAGCATTCTTTATTTCTGTTGTGTGTGTGTGTGTGTGTGTGTGTGTGTGTGTATGTGTGTTATTGCTAGCATTTAGTTGCTTTCATTTAATTTTCATGATTTTCATCTGTCCTGAAATTGCCTGTCTGATTTTGCATGCTATTTACCTTTTCCATTAGAGCATTTAACAAATAAATCAAAATTATTTAAAATTCCCTATCAGATAGCTTCAACATCGGTGCCATATGTAAGTCTGGTTCTATTGATTGCTTTGTCTCTTGGCTGCATGTTATTTTTTTCTGGGCAGAATTTATATACAGATTTTAAGGTTCACTTGCTCTGTGGTTTCCTCCCTTCTTCAGCTCCTCACTTAACTCTCTATCTGCTCTGGCCGGCCCTGAACATGGTCTCTGACATTTCAAGTTACTGTGGCTGAGGCTTCTGTTGTAAGCCATTGATGAATTAGAGAATGACCTCGGGCAAAAAGGTAGAACCTTGTAGAACCTCTATGATGAAGATAGACTTCTCTCCAGCTTCTGCCCTCATTTTTCTGATCCCTAGTGCCTTCAGATAGCTTTTTTTTTTTCTTTTTTTGTCCAAATCTTCTGATTTTCAGCTGTGGAAAGATTAATCTGACCAAGCTACTGTGCCATTAACAAAAGCTGGAAGTCTGTTGGATTCCAGAATAGCAATTTAATAAACACAGATCTGATTATGTCACTTACCCACTGAAGCCCTTAAATGTCTTTCTATTTATTAATGCCCTTGCCTTAGCCACATAAACTGTTCTCATGCACTATGCTCTAATCATACTTTATTTTTTCAGCAAATAGCAAATCTCACCATTTGTCTTATGCTCACTCTGAGTAAATTTGTAATTGCCTGCCATGTGGAAATTATTTCTTTTACCATGGCTCTTTGTTTATTTCTTTTTGGATGATCATATTCCTGTGTTCAAATCTGGCTGCCGCTTACCAGGTACAATTTTGGGCAAATTACTTAACCTCTTTGCACTTCAGATCCTCATCTGTGGAAGGGGGATACAAATAGTACCACTGCTACATAAGAGGTTTATTGTGAGAATTAAATGGGTTGCGAACATATATGTATATGTATATCTATCTATAGACATATAGCTATCTATAGGGATATATAGTACTTACAACAGTGCCTGGTACCAGGGAAACATTCAATGTGTAGTAATTATTCTCAAAAGCTATTCTACTGTATGTTAATTCCTTTATCTTCTCTGTTTAAAAAAAAAATGTTATCCTTTGTTAATATACATGTTGAGAATCTCCAACCTTTGATTAAATCCCATGTGTTTTGAGTTACCATGTGATTTATCTTATAAAAAAAATTCTTTCCTCCTAACCCCAACCTTAGGGATGATAGAAATTTAAGAAACAAAGGCCTAATAAGTGGTGTGAAGTCACTCAGTAAAGAAGAATTGAGTGCAGATTTATTAAACTTATCTCCGAACACAGATGTATGTCATCAACCTTGTTTATCTAAACAACAATTGAAAGCAGGTAGTATTCTTACTGCAACTAATTTGAACTATATCTTCTTTTATGTACTGACATTGATAACAATTGGAATTAATAGTAAATTTCCATCTTGTACATTTAAAATAACATTGTTTGAAATACTTTCCAGCTTGTATATGGTAGAAATAAATGAAAATCATAATGGTAATCCAGAAGAAAACAGTTAACATTATTGTCTTCTACATACGCTTTTACAAATTAATTTGAATTTTTGTCCATACACTTAATGCATTTTTACATGTTTATAATCACCGTATATATACTATTTTGTGCCTTGTGGAGTGTATCTTTTAAATTAATAGTAACTATAGAAAATATTCATTTGAGGTAGGAGAAATTTTTGGTTTCTTTTTAATGTTAGCTTCCTCTTCATAACCTTCTATCAATGCAGTAAAAACTTAGTAATAAGAGAAACTTGAAAGATTCTAATAATACTTTAATTTTTAATTTTAAACTAATACTTAAGAAATTAATGGCAGTACCATTGTTTTATCTTTTTTTTTTACCAGAATAATCTGTTCTGTAGCTTGATATTTGATGGAATGTTGTATTAAATCTGACATAATTTAAAAATACATTCTACCTTTACCCCTGTGGGGAAAATAATTATTGAAATCTTTAATATCATATGGACTTTTTATATGTAATTGTATAAAAATTGACATATATACATGCTACTTATTTGACCCCTTTGGTACTAAAATTTCTTTTGTCATAATATTCAAAATGACATTTAGAAGAAGTAACAGGATATTTTGGTTTCTGCTTTTTCAGGGGTAATATGCTTTCAGTTTGCCCTTCGTATTACTACCACTTTAAGTCCTTAGTATTTGTAGAGATAAGCCACTTAATGTTTTGAGTTTTGCCATAAAGAAATTGCAGCTGCCTTCAGGCATCAAATTAATAATGTTAATGAAATGATGTCAATTAAAATAATAAAAACTTACTTTAAAAGGGGAGGGCATAAAGGTAGTTAAACCAGAGATTCTCGTCCTTTCAAAACAATTTACTGATGTGAGCTGCAATGGGAAGAATATACTATTTTTGGACGAAAGCACACTTTGATCCATAATTCTTCATTTTCTATTATAAATAGATGCAAAGCATTCTTTTAATTTTTCCTTTTTTGAAAATACAATTGAATTGTGGTTAAAATATCACACATTTCTTAAATTCCTATTTTAGTAAATATATTTACTTGCCTTTTGTCAAAAAGATAAAGCATTTGCTAATGTGATATGTTTATATCTAAAATAATTATAGATACATGTTTCTAAATACTGTTTGAAAAGTTGAGTATTGATTTGGTTTCTGTGTAATTTAGGTACTAAATTTATGTACATAAAATGCTTATTATTTATGGCCAAATGCTAATTTTAAAACAATAAAATATTTACTGTGAGTGTCTTAAATAAAGCCTGTGACTCTTTGTTTTAAAGAAGCGACACCATTAGAAGAGAGCTATAAGGGAGAATCTGTACATTCCAGACTACCCATTCTACTTGAAAGCATCATATCTGATCTTGAAAAATCTCTTGGAACAGCTTTATCTTCAATACTAGAAACAGAAATGAAAATTGCTTTTGGAAACCTCTGGATGGAGGTGATTATTTCAACTCTCTTAGTTGACAAATTTCTTTTTCGTTGCTAAAGATTTATGACCTTATCTTAAGAAATAGGACACGTATATGTGTAAGCTTCATTGTGATAATTTATATCCCATTATATTTTTTCATATAGTTTCTAAATAACTTCTTGAAAACTAAATGGTGGACATTTCCTATAGATTAAGAACTATATTTTGTCATTTAATTTTTTTTCAATGAGCAGGTATTTATTATGTATCTACTGGTGTCAAACACATTGCCCCCATGGAGCTTAAATTGAGTTCAGAAAAACTTCTCTCATATTTAGTTTATTTGAGTTAAAATGTTTAGTATAGGGAATCCCCATTGCAATGTGTATTCAGAAAAAGAAGTGTGTATTTTGGCTTATGTCATATAAATAATCAAAGTATATCAAAGTATAAATATCATATCAACAAGATATTTTGTATTTTCTAGATTCACATCTATTCTGCAGATAGTAAAACACCACATTTGGCAATAGTGGCCCTTTTAGTTTAGTTAATGTTTGTTTGCTGTTCATATGTATAGCTAGGAGGAACAGTCCCCCTCAGTTGTAGATTCTAATAACTTGTCAATATGATGTTTTTGCTGCTTGATTATATGATCAAGTCTTGAGCCAAGATGATGAGGAATGATCAAAAGATTCTAGGAGGGTTGACTTAAATTGGATATTTTGTAATAGAGTCTAGGAAAGTCATTGCATATGAATAATTCAAAAAAGGATGTGCTGACATCTTATAGTGCTAAATGATGAATCTCCTTTATAAACATGCCTTTGCAAGAGTGTAGCAAGTGTTAGTGCTAGCTGACGTCTTTTTTCTGTATAGATTTTCCCACAGCTATGTGAAATAATTAGATTGATTTCCTCCTAGAATTGACTATGTTGGAAAGTAAATTGAGTATCTTTCCTGATTAAAACTATGCTTCTTCTGATTAAAACAGTGCTTTCGTTTTGCACAGTTTCTGAAACTATAAGGATTAATACTAATCTGAATTTTACAAAAACAATTTGCAGTGGAATTAGAATTTTAAGATCACAATTGGCTTCTAATAGAATATCTCTTAGTTTAAAAAGAATTCAACTAACTATATTTTTCCCAGAAATATATATAGATATTTTTAAGTAATTCCTAAGTACTTTTTAATAATAGGAATAATAAATAAATTAGTAGGTAGTAATTTTTTCTGAATACTTTTTTAGATGCTGTACTTGAAACCACCATGGACTCTAATTCATTTATTACAGTGCTTTAGAAAACATTGGTTGGCTGTATTTGGATTAGTTATGGAGAAGAACGTGCTTTTAACCATTGAGAGCCTATATGAAAATCTCTGTAAAGGTATGAATTTTTTATTTTGTCTTTAGCAATGTTGTGTTAAAGTCAGACTAGCAGATATTTTCCATGGAATGTGAAGATGAGTTAATAAGAAATTGGTCAATTATTTTTTAACCATTTACACTTCTAATTACTAAAGGGAGTTTGTGGAAGCTGAATGAATGAAGTTCATAGAGCTCATGACCATTAATGGTATCACCACCATTGATATTCCTGGATATAGTGAATATTTAGTTTTTTATAATGTTTGAAAACTTTTAAAACCGTATTTTATTCAGGTATGAAAATAGAATTTAGACTTTTTTTTTTCATTTCTCACTGTGTTTAACACACAAACTTTGACCCCATTTCATGTACTAATTTTAGAAATAGTATATCAAAGTATGTATCTAAAATATATGGTTTAGGAAATAGAAAGTGTTTGTCTTTGGTATATAGTGAGTTCTAGAACCAGAAGACACTAGAGTCAACAACTTAGTTGGTGATTTTTAAGCCATGTTGCACAGAACCTTCTTGAAATGCCTCTGGAGCTGCCACAGATTGGAGATGGAAAGGCTAACTGGGAGCCTGGAAAGTTGGCGGGCCTTTAGCCCTCAACCCCAGCTTTAGCCATGCAGTTTTCTTTTATCAGTTTATATATGGAGAATCCATGTAGGTTTTGAAGAAAATGTTTCTCTGCTAAGAAAAAAAAGATGGGGAAAGCACTGATCAAATGTTACAAAAGCCCATGTTTTATAATCAGGTAAACTATCCCTAAGAGGTAAGTGATTTGTCCAAAGTCAAACTACTGGATTTTTCTTGCTATACCTTTAAAAAGCAAAATATGTGTAACAATTATTGGGATGTTCAGTTTGTTCTGGACTTTTTTTTAACTCCTCTAACATGATCTGTTCTGTTTATTATTTCCCTGTATTGGTTATATCCTGTCTGCTTTTGAAAAATAACTGTGAATATAGAGGACTATTAAATAACAACCTGAGTACTTGAGGATTTAAGCTAAGTTTAAAGGCACAAGAGCCAGGTAGTGAAGAATAAGATAATTTCATCATAAAACATATGCAAACAATTAATATAAAACTTGATTTAACACTAATCCTCCTGGAAGCTAAAACAAAACACAAACAAATATATTCTGTGGGAGGTATACCATGGCTATCTTTCCCTTGAAGTGTAACCTTTTGGGAAATGTCTTATATCTTTGGAAATTACTTTGGGGGATTTAAAGTACCTGGTCCAATGCCTTATGACTTTTAAAAGTTACCAAGTTTTTAAAAATCTTTATTTTGAGAGAGAGAGCATGGGAAGGGCGCAGAGAGAGAGAGAGAGAGAGAGACAGAGAGAGAGAGAGAGAGAGAGAGAGAATGAATCCCAAGCAGGCTCCACGCTGTCAGCACAAAGCCTGATGTGGGGCTTGAACTCACGAATCCTAAGATCATGACCCTGAGATCACTACCTGAGCCGAAATCAAGAGCCAGATGCTTAACTGACTGAGCCAGCCAGGCACCCCTAAAAGTTACCAATTTTTAAAAGACATTTTAAAAATTTAAAGATAATTTAAAGATAATTCTTTAACTATAGAAGATATTTATAGGTGGTATTATTATATAAGAGAAGAGACAGGGAATGACTCCCTGGACATGCCTTTAAACCAGTTTTTGTAAGACAGGGAATGACTCCTTGGACATGCCTTTAAACCAGTTTTTATAAAACATATAGAAATGTCTTTCATATCTTAAGTAGAAGCATAATTTAGTTCTATCAAAAGAGAAAGCCCATAATTCATGTGTGAAATTGAATAAGATTTACTTTAAAGAATGGCATATTTAGTTGCCATTTTTCTCTTTTTCCAGGGGTGGGCAGTGTTTGTCTTTTGCACACAGCTTAGAGGTAGTAGGTAATAGGAGAGAATGAAGAGATGATGGCTGTTCCTTTTGCTAAAAAGTCTTTTTTGGAATCATTGTGTGCATAATTTATTGATCCTTGGTCTAGAAGAATCTAAGCCTAATGTGTACTGACTTGTGAAGAATATATAATAGAACTATAAAAGTGCCTTCTGCTCTAAAATAATTTTAAGAAAAGTCACAGTTTATGATTTTGTTTACTGTCTTTTAATAGTATACTCAGCTGTTAAATTATGATTGTGTTTAACTTCAGTAATCCCAAAGAATGTATCCTTAAATCAATTCATAGAAAATTGTGTGGAAAATGACTAGTAGCATTTCCTGATTTTGTTATCCATATTAACTTTAGTCAAAATGATTATTGACCTTACATAAGCATTAAAGTATTTCAACCATGTAGATTTCTTTTTATGTTGTGTCTAGGTACTGAATTTATCATTGTTATTTCCCTTCAGCACATTATCTTAGTAAAGACTTTTTGTGAGACAGAAATCAAATGATTAATTCAAGGCTACAAGCCTAACTGAACATTGACTGACTTGGAGAAGCACCCTTGAAAGAAATTGTGCCCAGTTTCTTTTCCTCAGGAGATTTACTAGGTTCATCAAATCTACATTCTGCCCTTTGTGTAGCATTTCTTATCTGTCTTTTCCCACAGGAATTTAAACTAGTCATTGACTTTAAAAATAACTAAGTGTTTTGTAAGGAAATATACTTGTTTGTTTTATTTGATAAAGGGGAAGCCAGAAGCCTGGCTATAGCCATCACATTAGATTAGAACTTCTGAATATTGTATAATTAATTAATTAAATCTACTTTTGATTTTTATTTGATTTTTCAGTAATTTCCAAGAAAATACTTGTTTTTGTTTTTGTTTTTTATATTAATTTATTTTTATTTAAATGTTTATTTTTTTATTAAAAGTATTTTTTAATGTTTATTTTTGAGAGAGACGGGGTGCGAGTGGGGGAGAGGCAGAAAGAGAGGGAGACACAGAATCTGAAGAAGGCTCCAGGTTCTGAGCTGTCAGCATAGAGCCTGACACCGGGGCTTAAAGTCAGGAA